GTTTCTCATAGCCATCGGTCAGAAGATTTAACTTCTGACCCTGGGGAAGTTATCTAATTATCCAGAAATTATCATTGTCAGTTCTAAGAAAAGAAATATGGATAGTCATCCAAGAAATCCCCTTACCCTCATCTCTGATAACATTAAAGTTCTATAGGTTTATATCTCCTCTGTTCATATGTATGATCCTTGATGAATGTCCTACTTCAATGTTTAAGGGTGGCATGGAGAGGAACCTGAGCTCTTAAAGACTGTGCCAGTGGAACACATGGTATAGGTTATACTAAGCTGGAAAGGCTTAGAGTATGGGCCCTATGACAGGCTGTATGCCCCTGGCCTAAAGTCAGGGAGGCTAACCAGGTTATCCAAAGGGTGATTAATTTTTTGGCCAAATGAACTCTCCAAGACCATCAGGTAAATTGTAGAAAGTTTTGTAATAGAAGTCACCACACAGATCTTTGAGGTGTTGACAACAAAGTGTGGGGATAGTATCTAAAAATGATGGGCTCCTAGAACTTGGGGGCAGCTAGGTGGCACAGTGGATAGAGTGAGAGGCCTGGAATCAGGAAGACTCATCTTCCTGAGTTCAAATCTGGCCTCAGACACTTACTAGCTGTGTGACCCTGGACAAATCACTTAACTCTTTTATTAATAAAATGCTGGCATTATTAATAACGTGATTAATTACCCAGAAATGATGTCTCTTGACATCATTAGTGAATTGGTTGGGAAATTGTCACAATAGTGAATTGGTTGGGAAATTGTAAAAGGATTCCTTAGTCATAGTGAAGGCCCAGTTGAGGTTATGTATCATAAATGTGCGTGGTTTCATGATTTTCTTCTAGCTTTATTCAGTAGTAGTAGTAGTAGTGAATAGGCAATGCATGTTGGGAGTAATCCAACAAGGGACTGAAGAGGGCAAGGACAAGGGACTGGAGAGTTGAACTCTGTTCATTAAAGGGGTTGACATAGGGAAGGGAGAAGACTGTAGCCAATGAAAGGGTGATAGCATGGGAAAGAACTGAGGCATAGAGATATTGGAGATTATGGGGAGAACAAAGAACAGGGTTAGAGATTGTAAGGCAAGGGGAAAGATGGAATAATAGAAGATTATGATCAAGAAAGCAATTTCTGAGTTCATGAATGTGGAAGTAGAATACTTATGATGATAGCAAAATCAAAAGAGAAAAGGCCCACCTTCAATAGCTGACCAGTTGACATCAATAGGCAGATAAAACCAAGTGACCTAAGAGTGGCAGCCTTCACAGCCATGATCCCAGGAGATGTGCCATGGCAATTATTTCTGCAGATGCTGAGATCAGAAAAGAAAATTCTTGACACCAAAATCCCTGGCATTGTCAAAGGTTTCAGCATTTGAAACTGATTTAGCTTTATTAATTGAAATGATGTTAAAGAAAAATTACTTTTTTTGTTTCACTGTTACACTTTAAGTACCATGGGGGCTCTTCCTTCTAATTTGCATCTGGAACTTCCTAGATATGTTGTCTCCCCTGTTAGAATGTGAACTTTTTAAGAAGAGGGACTTTCTCAGCTGTTGTATTTGTATCCCCAGTGCTTAGTATAGTGTTTGGCACGCGGTAAGAACTTAAGAACCTGGAGAAGGAAATGGCTGTCTTTGCCAAGAAAACTCTAAATAGGGTCACAGTTAGAAATGACTGATACCACAAACAGCAACAACAACATGAACTTAATAAATGCTTTTGGATTTATTTACTCATTCATTCAAGGGTATAACTATCTCTGTGTGTAGCTGAGGTGGGAGAAGGAATAGGTTATGAGAAGTTAAAAAAACTGTGCAGTTAAGGTATTTAAGAGAGTGTTAATATGTATGTTGAAATCTAAGCATTTCCATGTGTTTATTTATCTTCTATATGCAGATGACTGCCATGTCCATATAGCCAGCCTTAATCCCTCTCCTGAACTTTCCACCCACATTGGCTACAGGACCTTTCTGACCAGATGTCCTATTAAAAAGTCTGAAACAGAATTTACCATCTCTTGAAATCTACCACTCCTACAAATGTCCTAGTCTCTACTGAGGGTATCACTATCCTCCCAATCATTCCATTCTGAAACATTGAAGTTATCCTCAGCTCTTTTCTCTACCTTACCACTCCCGCCCCCCCCCCCCCCCCACCCCACCTCCCCCCCCCTCTTTTCCCTCCCTTCCCCCCCCCCCCCCCCCCCCCATCCAACGCTTCCAAGTGGTATTGATTCTCCCTCCATCATATCTCCTCCATCAGTCACTTTTTGGGTTCTACAACCACCACCTTTGTTCTCTTAAATGGTTTCCTTGCTTTCAGTCTCTTCTCCCTCCACCCAACATAATAGTGAAATTAATCTTCCTATATCTTTTTTTCCCCCTTTTTTGATGAGGCAATTGGGGTTAAGTGATTTGCTCAGTTACACAGCTGGTAAGTGTGATGTGTCTGAAGTTGAATTTGAATTCAGGTCCTCCCGACTCCAGAGCCGATGCACTACTGCGCCACCTAGCTGCCCCCGATTAATCTTTCTATAAAGCCTACAGGTCTGACCAAGTCACTTCCCTACTCAAAAACCTTCAGCGGTTCCTTACTTAATATTTAATTAATTAATTAATCTTATTTACAAAGGGTAAAATACAAACTCTTCAATCAGGTATTAAAGTTCCCGCATAAACTGGGCTCCAATCTCCCATTCCAGCCTGATTACACATAATTCCCCTTAACTCACTCTACATTCTAGCCCAACTGGACTATCAGCTTAACTTTACACACCATTTTCTCCCTCCAATCCTTTGCACTAAGCGTCCCCTATACTTAAGGCTTTCCCAACCTTCTTGATGTGAGTCCTTTCCTCACTCAAATTACTTTGTATTTACTTATCTGGATGCGTGTTGTATGCCTGTAGTAGAATGTGAGCTCCCTGAGGGCAGAGAATGTTACTGTTGGTTTTGTTTGTTTTTTGTCTTTTTTGTATCTCCAGTGCCAGTACAATGGTCTGAACATTATTGGCACTTAATAAGTGCTTGTTGGATTAAATTTCATTTCCATTAAACCCCACGCAGTCTCTCTCTTTCTCTGTCTCTCTCTCTCTGTCTCTCCCTCTCCCTCTCCCTCCCTCCCTCCCTCTCTCTCCCATCCTGACATCTCCACGAGGTTCAAGGGTGACAGGTTAACACCAAGTGACTAACTCCCAAACCTGTTAAGAGCAAATGCTCGAATTGCTTAGGTGCTATAGTAGCAAGAGTACACCCAGATTATTGCTGCTGTTGTTGTTGTTGTTGTTTTGGTTGGGAATCTGTGTTTTTATTGGCATAGAGACTTCTTCAATGATTTGTATGGCAATTCTCTTTTATAATTCAGTATTGGAGTGCTGCTTGGCGTGTTGAGAAGTTAAGCAATTTGCCCAGGGTCACACAGCTGACAGTCAGTATTCAAACCCTAGTCTTCTCGACTCCAGGACCAGCACACTGGCCACTGTGCCCCAGTGCCTTTCGAAAAAGAGAAGTTTTTGTAATTTTTTCTTTTTTTAACATTTAATTCTTCTTTTATTTTTCTCAATTACATGTAAACAAAAATTTTTAACATTCTTTTAAAAAATTTTTTGAGTTCCATATTCTCTCTCTTCCTCTCCTCCCTCTCCCCTCCTTGAGAAGGCAAACAATTTGATATAGATTATACATGTGCAGTCATGTAAAACATTTCCATATTAGTCATTTTGCAAGACAGTCCAAAACGAAACAAACCCATAAACAACCCAAGAAAAATAAAGTAAAAAAAAAAGTATGCTTCAATTTGCACTCAGACTCCAATCAGTTCTTTCTCTGGAGGATTTTTGCATTTTTCCTTTTTTTTTTTTCATTTCCATGGAACATTTTTCATCATAAGTCCTTTGGAATTGTATTGGATCATCCTATTGCTGAGAATAGCTAAGTCATTAACAGCTGATCATACAATATTGCTGTTATTGTGTACAACCATTCTCCTGGTTCTGCTCACTTCACTTTGCATCAGTTCATATGTGTCTTCCCAGGTTTCTCTGAAAGCACCCTGCTTGTCATTTCTTATAACCAAATAGTATTCCGTCACAAGCATATACTACAACTTGTTCAGCCATTCCCCAATTAATGGGCATCCTCCCAATTTCCAACTCTTTGCTATCACAAAAAAGAGCTGCTATAAATATTTTTGTACATGTCAGTCATTTTCCTTTCTCTTTGAGGTACTGACCTAGTAGTGGTATTGTTGGGTCAAAGGGTACGCACAGTTTTTTTTTTTTGTTTGTTTGTTTCTTGTTTTGGCTAGGCAATGAGGTGAAGTGACTTGCCCAGGGTCACACAACTAGTAAGCGTCAAGTGTCTGAGGCTATATTTGAACTCAGGTCTTCCTGAATCCAGGACTGGTGCTCTACCCACTGCGCCATCTAGTTGCCCCATATGCACACTTTTATAGCCATAATTCTTTTATAGAGAGAGCTATCTCCAGCCCGGCCGGAAAAACAGGTTTCGGCACTTGGATGGGGTCAACAGCCTTGTCTCCCCAGCAGCGGCTCACATCCTCTAGAGGCTGGAATGCTGGACGTTGTAGTTGTCCCTCCCCATCCAGAGCCCTTGATCGGGGAGCTGAGAAGACTACAATTCCCAGAGTCCTCTGCTTCCCCTAGAAGCCCATGGGCTTATCAGGAAGAGCGCAGGGAGCGCCTGCCAAGATGTCCGCAGAGGGCCGGGCGGCCCCTCCTCTCTCCGGGAGCCGGGAGGTGAGCTTTCCATGGTGGATCTGACTCTCCTGGGTGAGGGCGGCCCCAGCTTTAGTTCGGGTCCTGCCGAATGTGGGGTACCCCGACAGCAGCAGCAGCAAGCCGTTGCCCAGTTCCAGGTATCACATCAGGTTGACTCAGGTGAGCCCGGGCGGAGGCGGCCACTCTGCAGAGGGGCAACCGCAGGAGGGGAAGCAAAGCTCGCCAAGCTCGAGGCTGACTTTCGGACGCTCGGGCGGAGGCGGCCCGGGGTCCGAGTCACCCCAGAGGAGCCCCCACCCAGCAGCTGCAGCGGAGGAAGCCAGGCATTGCCAAGGGCCAGCTTGAATCGGTAAATTGGGGCAGAGGTGGCCTGGAGGCTGGCGAGTGTCCAGCCCCGCCCCCCGCAGGCAGAACCGCCGGGAGCCAAGCACTTTCTGCCTCTTCCCCTGAAGATAGCTCCCCGGCTTTCCCAGTCCTCTCTCATAGCCACATTCCCAGGAGGACTTACCTTGGGCAAGTCACTACTCCTCATTGGGCTTCAGTCTCCTCATCAGTAAAATGGGGGTTGCACTGGATCTCACAGCGCCCTTTCCCTCTCTGAATCCAGAGTCTGTGCTGCTGGCAGGGGGGCAGGGCACCGTGTAGATGAGCTTTCTCCTATCCCCAGGCAGACCACAGCCGAGGGACTAGCAGACGGGAGGGCATCCGTCCCAAAGCCGCCAGCTGAAGTGAGCCATGAAAAACGAAGGGACAGTATCTGCCCTGGGACTCAGGGGTTCCCTGGGGTCACTCCGAAGCAGTGAGCCCGTGGGTTTGGCCCCACCCCCGTCTCTGCTCCAGAGCTTGCTGGAGGAGGCTGCAGACTACCTGGTAGTGCACCGGGACTTCAAGGCATGCCTGGAGACGTGCCAAAGGGGCTGTGAGAGACTAGGCTCTCACTTGCAGGCAGAGGAGTGTGAGGACAGGTATGTAGAGATTTGGAGGCAAGCAGTCTGGGCTCTGACATTTAGTTGATGTGGGACCACACTTCACAGGAGTAATAATAACTCTCATG